GGACAATTTTTGACATAACATTACTGTGATGGCCCAAGAGCAAGATCTTAGCATACTTAACTCATGGAAAGCCATCATGCAGGGAACAGAAGATAGTTATTTTGTGGGGTTAATTAAATCTCCAAACTACAGATTGCTTATTTGAACACATTCTTATATCAACATGGATGTGATCATGTCTGAGACCAGCTGTGTTGGTCTTGTGCTCACATAGAACAGATGGGAATGAGAGCTCCTTTCCTGGAATATCAGAAAGAATGGGACCTTCAGTAGAGTCCATGCTCACCATGGTCCTCTCAGGGCTACCTGCCAGATGTGGGGTTCATGTGACTACAGTCATGGGCAAAATGACTCTGCCTCCAAGATGAGATTGGTAGCACTGTGCATCTACCCTAACTATGAATCCAGTACGGTGCCTTCTCTGCTTCAGGTATCAGACTAAGAGAAAATTTGGGATTAAAAGCTTGCACAAATGTTTCTCTCATGTCTTGTGGAGACATACAAAGGCCTGTGGAAAAATAGAAACTTGACATCAGAGAGAAGTTGGGTCCTAATGAAAGGGCTCCGGCCATGTAGGCCTGGTGCACTGAGAGAGCCCCGACTGCGACACACATCTGCCTGTCTTGCTGGGCACCAGACATCAGTGGAGGCTGGAGTAAGCAGATGCACTCAGTCTGTCTCCTAGTCATGAAAGTTTCCACCATCACCCCCACCATGATTCACTGACCCAAGTCTGGAAACCCCCAGTACAGGACCAAACCTCACAGAAAAGCATGAAGATGTCCCCAAGTCTTTTCCAGGCAAAGTTAACGCTTCCTGTTGGTTAGAACAGATGCCAGTGAGGCCAAGACTTAAGCAACACATGAAACAGTTCCTCACAGGGAAACATTCCGCTCCAGAGTCAGAAACTAAACCTGTAAGCCTAGCCAGCCAAACATTTTGCAACCATGACCATAATGAAGTCAGTTAATTTTCTTTTCAATTTTCTACTGTTTGAAGGTATATTGTCACTTTAAATTCTATGTCAGAGGCAGTCTCTAAAGAAGTTGGTTCCTGGAAAAAAGTAGCCAAGGGCTGTAGATGAAGAGCAAGATGGAAAAAGATTCCTTCTGAGAAAGCAGAAAAAAATATAAGTAGCAGAATCAGAAAAGCCTCCTATGATTACAGCAAGCCAGACACAGACGTATTTGAATATTGTTCTATAGATGTAAAGGAAAATATATGTGCTTCGTGGTAGATTCTAAATTCAGAAATGAGAAACTGAATTAAAGATATACCAAAAACGATTGATTGTTCTCCTCTCACGGGAAACCATCTCCCTCACAACCAGCTCAGGACATCTTCGCATGGATAAAGAAAGTAGGATACATAAGAGAAACTACCAGTGAGTTGAAGCCAAGATAAGGAGGGGCGACGGGTTAAGAATAGAAAATGCTCTCATTCACTGTTGATGGGAGGGTAAATTGGTACATTTCTGGAAAACAGTTTGGTAACATATTTATCAAAATCCTTCAAAATATATATCACCTTTGACTTAGTATCCCTACTCCCAGGCATCTGCCCTAAGAAAATCATAAGAAAGGTAAGGAAATATGCATGTCACAGAATTATTTACAATGGTGAATAGTTAGACATCTATATACACAACAGGAGAATTCACACTATAGAAAATTACGCAGGTATTTAAATTGCCACCTTTTAGAGTAGTCAGTAATCTGTAACATGTTATGAATAACATGCTCATAACATTTTAATGGAAAAGAATAGATGCAAAATAAAACAAGTAGAACTATCACAGGTTTTTACATATTTTTGGAAGGAAATGCAATATTAATAGTGGCTATCTCTAGGCAGCAGAATCACAGTTCATATTACCAATTTGCAGCATCAAACCAGTACTACTTTTACAATCACCAAAAACTTATTTTTAAAAGAAAATTTAAAGGTTTATGCTATAAACTTTTAGGGTAGGAAAGGGAGGCAGAATATAAAATTCTATAGAAAAAAAGGCCTGAAAAAAATACTTAAAATATTAATGTTTGTTATTTTTACATTATAGGTCACTGTATAACTTTTTGCTTTCTACTTTTTCATATTTTCACATTTTTCCTTGAAGAGAATATACCCCTTTTATACTGAAAGAAATTTTTTAAAGAAAAACATAATATAATAAACAAGAGCATGTAGAGATTCTCATTAAGAAGAACTAAACATCTAAGAAGTATAGAAGCGACTTGTTCTTTTATTGAAAGATAAATAGGATGAGAGGACCTTTTCATGTTGCTCCAAAAATTGGTTACCAAACCCAAAACTAGTAACAAAGAACCATAATGACACCACATTTTAAAGAAAGCCAAAAATAAGGTGAGGGGGGTGCCTCTGATGAGAGAGGCTGAACTTGCTCAGCTACCCCATCAAGCCCTCCACCTCTCTCCAGTTTAAATACACAGACAACTATGAGATATAGGGGTTTTAAGGAGAATCTTTGTAATCATGAGTCATTGGTGTAGCCCATGGAAGAGCCCTAGAGTTTGCAGGTGTGGTGGCCATGAAAATGTGCTCTCAGATCTCCTACTGCAGAGAACATAACAGCCCATTTGCTGCAGACTGCCATCTACCACCGCACTGGAACCAAGATCATGCTTTCCTTTGGCTGAGGGACACGAAGGCGGGCTCATTCCTGGCAGCCTTGATGGAACTATCTTAGAACCACACTGTTGTCTAATACCGTGCTTCTTTTTTCTTCCCTGTCTCCTTCACAGGGTTCTGATCAACATCACGACCTGGTAGTGCTCTCAACCTCCTCCATCTCCTGCTCCTTCTCCTTCACAAGCATTTTTCCCCCAATAAATCCCTTGCACATCTAATCCCATTTTGGCATCTGTGTCTCTAAAGACCTGGATGAATACAGGAGTACTCCACTGGCTAATATAGAGCCGACTGCAACAGAGAGTTTTCTCTGACTGGCAACAGAAGAGGAAGTCAGATTTCAGCATAATGGGGATGTACACTAAGGAATTCTGCTGCCAGCTTCGATGTTGCAAATGGGTCTGTGGATAGCCTGTGAGAAGGCCCTTGGCAATAGACCGTGAGAAGCTTCTAGAAGATGACAACACCCCCCACTGACAACTAGGAAACTGGAACCTCAGTCCTACAGCCACAAGGTTGTCCTGCCCACAGCCTGAATGATCTTGGAGGTAGGCTCTTCCAAGATCCTTTGGTAAGTACCCAGTTAGCTGACTCCTAGAGTGTGAGACCCTTAGCAGAGAACCCATTTAAGCCATGCCAGACTTCTGACCTACAGAAACTGTGATGTCAGAAATGGGTATTGTTTTAAGCTGATAATGTGTGGTAATTTGTAACACAGCAATAGAGAAGTAATACAAGGAGATTTGACAGCATGTATTTGATAATAGTAACTGAAAAAGAGTAAACCACTTGTGCCACCAGCAAGTTAAGAATGCTTAATAAACTGAGGACAAAGTTTTATTATTAATCTTGTATTGTTAAATGAATACATTCAAGTGTTTCATAAACAAATTATATCAATCATTGTATAATGCAGTGGCTTTAAAACTCATCGTAATCTCTTTCCTCAGGTCATAACTGTTTAGAACCAACCTGATCATTCCCTATTGTGTTACTTTTAAATTACCATGTACATGCTACATACCTAAATTAATGGCATGATATTTAAAGTAATCCGCAATCTCCATACCACTGAATCTAAAATCTCTGTCCGTATCACATCATGGCTTGCGATATTGTATGGATTGCTCACTGAAGGCATACCCATTCCCGTGAGGGGGAAAGCAGGATTAGTAGCTCCACTGTGATATATAAGGAGCTGAAAAAGATTCTTGTCTTACCCCGGGTTTCTTAGAAAATCAAGCCTGTGAAGCAGAGCTTGTGTGCTGATGCTTTATTAAGGAGTGCAGTCTCAAGACAGCAAGAGTAAGGGGGAAAGGGAAGGGAGGCAAGAAAGGAGGGAAAACATGTAAGTGTGGTTCATCACTGGGCTGGCCACAGCATCACTAGAAAACACAGCTGGGGCCAGGCGCGGTGGCTCACGCCTGTAATCCCAGCACTTTGGGAGGCCGAGGCGGGCGGATCACAAGGTCAGGAGATCGAGACCACGGTGAAACCCCGTCTCTACTAAAAATACAAAAAATGAGCCGGGCGCAGTGGCGGGCGCCTGTAGTCCCAGCTACTCGGGAGGCTGAGGCAGGAGAATGGCGGGAACCCGGGAGGCGGAGCTTGCAGTGAGCCAGGATCGCGCCGCTGCACTCCAGCTTGGGCGACAGAGCGAGGCTCCGTCTCAAAAAAAAAAAAAAAAAAAAAAAAGAAAACACAGCTGGTTCCTTTTTTATGCAGGACATCTCCAGAGAGGCCATGTGCTTTTCACAATAGTCCATTGTGGGGACAGAGGGAACAGAATGTATCTGCCAGGTCTTTCCTGTCTCCTGTCTGTCACTGCTCAAAGGATGCCTGACGCTTCTAGAAGCATGAACCCCCAGCACTTCTGGGAGTGTCAGTCCTGAGCTCTCCAGTCAGCCACTAGGGAGGTCAGATCTCATGCCACTTCCCAACACTCCTGAGCCTAGGCGTTGTTGAAAGGTCAGGGGTGGGCTTGCTACAGTTCTGCCCGGTGAGCATAGTGAAGTCATACAGAAGCAGGGTCCTGGCTGGACACGGTTGCTCAGGTCTCTAATTCCAGCACTTTGGGAGGCCGAGGCAGGTGGATCACTTGAGGTCAGGAGTTTGAGAGCAGCCTGGGCAACATGGCGAAACCCCATCTCTACCAAAAATACAAAACTTAGCCAGGTGTGGTGGTGCATACCTATAGTCCCAGCCACTTGGGAGGCTGAGGTGGGAGGATCGCTTGAACCTGGGAGGCAGAGGTTTCAGTGAGCCAAGATCACACCACTATACTCCAGCCTAAGTGACAGGGCGAGACTTTGTCTCAAAAAAAAAAAAAAGTCAGGATCCCCACCTTGGGGAGGCTGGGACAGCTGACAATGTTAAGAGACGGGGGAAAGGGAGTGGTCAAGGCTTCTCTGCTGAGCAAGTGGCCAGCACCCAGAGGCAGCTGGAGCAAGCAAATCTGGAGAAGAACAGTAACACAGATCACACAGTCCCAAATCTTATGTCGTTTGCACTGCACCACCCTTCCTCTCATACTAGTATCTTGACAACTAGGTAACAGAGAATGGACGCATCTTCCCCCACCTCCCTGCCCCACTGCTTCTAAGAAACAACTACTTCTTTCCTTTCATCATCATTCTTAATTTTGGGTTCTTCCATCTGGTTCACATTTCTTCCCAGAAAGCTCTTGATGCCCTTATTTCCAAATCCTTTTCTGTACATGAAGTTATTTCTTTCCCACCAATTTTTGTAATCCATTCTGGAAAACACACCCAAAGCCCCTGGGCTTCTGCCCATTCTGCTTTTCATTATTGCAATTGCAATGTGGTTAGACCAGTAATGTCAAAACCGTGTGTGTGTGTGCGTGTGTGTGTGTGTTTGCAAAGAAGTCTCCTCCAAAGCTGATAAGAGTGGACTTAAACACACACACACAGGCACACACACACACACTTTTCTCCTGGGTAGTGCCCTATTTGGACAGAGATAAGATTACATCTCTTGGAATGGAGAAAGGCCTTGGTCTGAGGGATAAGTCTTCCAATTTTAAGATGGGAAATATTTCAAAACTGGTTGCATTAAGCCCTTACGTTCAGGAGACCAAAACCTTATGAAGGGCATGAAAAATTTTAAAATAGTCCATTAATAAAGAAAAGCATTTTCCCCACAGATTAATTGGGCTTTGCGTTCTTTATCCAAGGCCTTCTTTTGACGTTTCAGGGATTCTTGTCTTTATATTCCAGCTCATCAGAAATGGTCTTCAGGTGACCAATCACTCCTTGTGGTTTTTCTTCCTTCCTCTTGTTTAGTTTTTCTCTTCTTCGGACCTTTGGCTGACTTCTTTGCTACTGTTACCAGGACTGAAGTTCCTAGCAGGGTTAAAAGAAAGACCCATGAGTAGCAATGCTGTGTTCTCACATTTTTTCATCCAGAGCAGGAAAGGACCATTTATGGATTGATCTTCAATCAGAGAACCACGTCACCCAATCTCCCTGCTCTGCAACTTGCCACAAGATTGATGGTAAATATAATACATATGAAAATGAAGGAGAAAAATGTATGCAAAGCCTCGGTGCTGGTGCAGGGGCTGGAAACGATGTCGTGCAGTACATCATTTCATCGGAATTTCTCATTTTCAGGACATTGACTCTAAAATTACTGCAGCCGTAGTGTTTAATGTTCCTGTATTGAGATTCCAGGGTTTAAAAAAAAAGATTTGAAGCCAGAAAAGCAAGCCTGACTTATTTGGACCCATGATGTAGTGTGACCAGAAAAATTGCAAGGAAATTTTTAAATGCTATAAACACAGATACACACATACGGACACACAAAGATTGATGGGGGGGCGGGGGCTCCGTGAACTTAATACTGTGTCCAATACAGCATCAAGCAGGTTGCCAATAAAAGAAGGAACACAACATAATAGTAAACTAATGAAACTTAAGTTCATGTCCCTGAGAGGGGACCCAGCAATGGCCTAGCAACATGGTCAATATTTTTACAAGTTTTTGTAAAATTTAAGCTATTTTAACCAAAATGCTTAAGATTGCTGTCTCTCTCCACTCCAATTTTCCTTCTATATTGGGTGACGTTAGACAGGCCATGAGCATTTGGGGGACCCAGCTAACAGAAGGTGAGTTGAGGATATTTCATTAGGGTTTAGTGGAAATCTAGGCTATATTTAGGTGGATCTCAGTCGCTTCTGTGTCAGTTACATGATTACCAGCGTTCTGGTAGAACACTGGCTTCTAGGAGTGCTCCTCCGGCTCCTGAGCCACACAGAGGTGCAGGGCAAGAGTCCACATCTCAGCATGAATATGAACTTCAGGGCCCAGCACCAGGAGTATGTTACATAGTGGAGGAGAAACCAGAAGACAGCCAGAAGCTAATCATCTATGGGAAATTCTTGTAATCATCAGAGCCATTAATCTAGAGAATTCAAGTTTCACTGATGCCTCAAAAAGACAGAAGTTTTCTCCTCAATAAAGGCTTTTCCAAATTTGACATCAATCCTAAAAATTTATGTGATATTAATCTAACTTGGGACACTGGAAAAAAATTACTGTAAACTATCAGTAGTTTTTTAAAACTTCAATCAACCATGCTAGAACAACTGAGTTATCTCTCTATTCTCTCTATGAAAAACGTATTACAAAATTGTTGTCCTCTGAAGGGGCAATCAAAGATTATGAAACCAAAGAATGTATTTTTAATGTTTGTGATATTTGTTAGCTTTTTCAGATTTGTAATTGGTTGCAACTGTTTTCTCATTCTAAATACATATTCTTTCATAACTTATTTAGTATTCATAACTGGTTACATATAATCTCTTATATTTTCTTCTGAAATATTTATTATCTTCTTGTTTACATTTAAATCTTCAGGGCATCTGGAATACATACATATATATATATATATATATATATTTTTTTTTTTTTTTTTTTTTTTTTTTTTGGAGACAGTCTCACTCTGTCACCCAGGCTAGAGTGCAGTGGCACCATCTTAGCTCACTGCAACCTTCGCCTCCCAGGTTCAAGCAATTCTCATGTTTCAGCCTCCTGAGTAGCTAGGACAACAGGCCTGTGCCACTCTGCCCAGCCTGGAATTTATATTTGCATGTTTTGTGTAGTAGGTCCATCTTCACTTTCTTCAAGAAAGATAGTTATACTGACACTATTTATTAATGATTTATAATGTTACTGTTTATTAATGAAATATTTAATAACTATATAATTTATTTCCTACTGCAATGAGGTACTACCTTTATCATATAGTTTTTCATATATACTGAGATATATTCTTTTGTTATAATTTTAACTTTTATTTTAGATTCAGGGAGTACATGTATATGTTTGTTATCTGGGTATCTTGTGTGATGCTGAGGTTTGAGGTACAATAGATCCTGTCATCCAGGTACTGAGCATAGTAACCAATACTTAGTTTTTCAATCCTTGCCCCACTCCCTCTCCCTCTACTCTAGTAATCCTCAGTGTCTATTGTTGCCATTGAGATATATTCTTGATTCTATATTCTATTCTACTGATTTGTTTATTCTGTGTCTATAACATATTGATTTTTATCATAGTAGTTTCGTTGAATATACTGATCTAATAAGAAAAGTATCCATTTTTAGATACTTTTATCATTATTTTGAGGTGTTTACTTTTCTATATGAAATTTGAGATTATTTTATCCACTTAAAAATGGCTGAGAGTCTATTGGCATTATACTAAACATATGTAATAGTTTGGGGTAATTTGACATTTTTATGATATAATGTCTCCCCTTCTAAGAATGTGGTATGACCTTCTAGTTGTTGAGATTTATTTCAGGTTTCTTCATATAGCTTCTTCACTTTTTTTGCTAAATTTATTTCTAAATATTTCATAGTTTTATGTCATTATCTTGAATTGAATACTTTTCCCACTTTCATTTCCACATTGTATTGATAGTATGAAAAACGTGCTTATGTTTTTAAATTATTATTGATCCAATTATGTTTCAAAAATTATATTCTTATACATTTTTATTAGTGTCTCCTGGGTTTTCTGGGAATACTATTATATCATCAGCAAAAAAAGAGATAGCGTCATTTATCTCAATTTCTCTAGCACTGAGCACAGCGTCTACTACTGCTCAGGCACACCATAAATGTTAAGAATGAATGAACAAATGAATTAATGAATGAACAAAAATGTGGGTCAGAGATTATTCACATGGAACATCAAGTTCCTCACCATTGTAGTTCTCCAGTGAATTCTCCATCTTCCTTTTGAATGCCAGCACCATTTCTTTGATTGAAACTGCAGAAGTTTCCAAATCTAGTAAAGTAGAAGATGAATAAATATGATGACCAAAGGGAACACGTTCCTGAAGAGTGAAGGATCTTCCTGAGTGAATTGCAGGGTGTGTTCTTTGAGTTTCCCTATTCATTCGAGCTGAGACAGAGAACACAAGGGAGGTTTTTTATTCCGTCCAGGAAAAAAGCAATGGACTGTCACTGCACTTTTGAATGAATTAGAAGGCATAAGGAGGAAAACAAAAAAACCATTTCTTTTAAAAAGAAAATGAGGCCGGGTGCGGTGGCTCACACCTGTAATCCCAACACTTAGGAGGCCGAAGCAGGTGGATCAACTGAGGTCAGGAATTCGAGACCAGCCTGGCCAACATGGTGAAACCCCATCTCTACGAAAAATATGAAAATCAGCCAGGTGTGGTGGCATGCACCTGTAATCCCAGCTACTCAGGAGGCTGAGGCAGGAGAAGTGGCTTGAACCAGGGAGGAGGAGGTTACAGTGAGCGGAGATCACGCCACTGCACTCCAGGCCTGAGCAATAGAGTGAGACTCCATCTAAAAAAAATAATTAAAAAAAGGAACAGGGAGCCAGTCAGAGGTTTGCCAGCAGAAACATTTCAGAGAAGGGTCCAGGAGCACAGATAACAAAAATCAAGGCAGCCTGGGTAGCTTTCTAAAGCTCAGAGGAGAGTTTTCTTTAAAAAAGTCTGTAGGTGGTGATGAGGAGAAAGCCAAAGTAATGCCAACTTATACATAGGTATTCATGTCCATTTTGGTCTTGATCCATATATTATATCCATACTTAAGCTGCACAAATGCTGCATAATTGAACTAAAAGCATGTGCTCACCAATCTAACCTCTCTAAGTCTCACATATGGTTATATGTGAGAAGAGCCAAGCCACTAGGCCTAAAATTACAACCACGGCCATTCACCTTATGGGAGCTATTAGAGTTTGTAGAATTGTAGGCATAATTTATTGCTGAGGGAATTAGCCATTATGTTGCATACTTGAAATTCCAACTCAACTAAGTGTCAATCTGAGTCATAATAAATAATAAATAGGCCCCAAATGCTAGAAGCTTCTGACTTGGCGTCATAAGAGTATCACTTAATCCTGCAAGAGGTTTTCCAACAAACCACAATAGCTCCCTGCTTTTCTGCAAAATTAAAATACACATTTACAACAAATTTATGAGTGCACATGAAGAATTTTCCACTGTAAGAAACACCTTTGTTTTCAAAAACAGAAAATGATGATCGCCAAGCTGGAGAGCATGATGCAAAGTGCTCCCCATAAATTAGCAGCAAGAACACCACGTCCTAAGACAACCAGGAGAAAAGGGTTATGTTCGAGTTGTGGAAATAAATCCAAACTCTGGCACAGATTACAAAGGATTTTCTTCTAGGGAAAACAAAATGTTTCTATTAGGGAGTCCCTAATAGGGAAATCACTTGAGAAGGCAGCTAGAACACCAGCGTAGTAATTGGCTAGATAATCCCAAATACTGCACTTGAGCTGACAGCACAAGGCCAAATGAGGAGTAGCAGCTTTCACGCACACACCAGGCTACTAGGTAGGCTGATGCTTTGAAGCATCTCTTCGTGTTTTTTGTTGGTGAAAGGTTTGTAAAGAAAATGTGTCCCTCTAAATAAGCCTAGCCCTGCAAACACATTGAGTGCATTGGTGATGTGAGTGCATTGGTGATGTGAGTGCATTGGTGATGTGGCTTGGGTCTTTAATTTGTCTTGGATAGCAGCTGGCACCCTGCTGTTAGGCCTTTGCTCACAGCCTGGTCCTGATGGAAGTGCTCTTGCCCTTCCTCTCTGAGGATCTGCATGTTTCTCATCTACTGTGCATCTGCCAGACTTAGAATCACTCCCTTCCCTGAGACAGGCCATACTTCAATTCTTTTGATCACAAGATAGACTTTGAAGACATTAAGAGACAGACTTCTGAAAGAGTTTCCTATGACCTTAATTCCCTATCAAAGGCAATGCTAGGAAGATCCTGAGTGTTACCCATATTGTCACGCAGCCTGTGCCCAGCAGTGAAAATCTTCAATCATCCAAGTGGCCGTGATCCCTGGAGCTGGCCTTCTTCACTCAGTGGTTAGGATAGACAATAATGAGATTTTTCCCTGCAGCCCAAAACAGGGCCCCTGAAGATGACCAGAAAGGTAGACTCAGCAAGCAGAAGGAGTGCTCTTTATTTTCTCTGAGGCAGAATTATAAGTTTAGATTAATTGAAACCAATTATAACATCACTTAATTTGTCTATAGAGTGACCATTAAGTCATGTTGCCTCCAACAGTCCTGATTTATACCTATTGTCCCTGAGTCATTATTTATGATGCTCTCCCTTGCACTCTCAAAATTGTTCCACTTTGGAAAATAAATGATATTGTCAACCCACTTATTTAGAATACCAAGGGCAAGTTCCTCCTTGATCCATACAAGGTAACATATGTATCAACAAGGACAAGTAAGCAGGATGCCAAAGTCAAGGGACTTTAAGCAGATTTAGAAACTGGGGATTTAGAAACGTTACTCATTCTCCTTTGGCACAGATATCAAGCTTATCTTTCTGTAAAGGGTGCAGCAACTTTGCATATCTTGCTGGAGAAAAACAATCATAATCTGTTGGTCTCATCTCTTCCATTAAAATGAAAATGTGTTACACAGCTGTGTTGTAGCTTCCCAACAGAGAGCAGATGACCCACCTGAACGAGCATAATTCAAAGAGGACTTGTTTACAATAGTGTGGATGTAAGGGGACCACAATGAATAGTGCAGAAACCTGATGGTTAGTGCCAACCAAACTGATATCACCGCAGGCCAAAGCAAGGAGGAGGTGCAAGGCATCTTGTGAATTGGCTTCTGGAGAAGAGGACAGTCTCCTCTCATGATACAACTCAAGTTTCCCTTCTTTTATAAACCAAACCCCACAATCTCAGCCCATAAGGATCCTACCCTAAAGCTCTATCACTAACTGCACTATGCATCTGGCACTCACACAGACGAACTTGTGTTCTTATACCTCTTCACAGTACAGGTTGAGTATCCCTTATCCAAACCACTTGGGACCAGAAGTGTTTTACATGTCAGATTTATTTAAACTTTGGGATATTTGCATTATACTTACCAGTTGAGCATCCCAAATCCAAAAATCTGAAATCCAAAATGCTCCAATGAACATTTTATTTGAGCATCATGTCCGCACTTAAAAACTTCTTATTCTGGAGCATTTCAGCTTTCAGATTTTCAGGTTTGGGATGCTCAGCCTGTATTGTCTTTTAACTGAGATCATAAATGCCATGAAGGAAGGTAGAGACCACATTTCTTACCTCTAGATCTCAAGCATCACAGCACCAGTGTTTCTAAACCATTTGTTTTCTGGCTACAACACATGAAACCAATGACATTCACATGCAAGACGTTCCCCAAAGGCATCCACTGGGTTATGCATCATTCCTACCATGCTCCCTCATTTATCTCCCACTCAAGAAGGCATACCAGAATGCAGATGAGTGAGGTCAGGTTATTGTATAGGTAATGTCGAATCTACTCCAACTTTTTAATGTAAATTGTATACAAACTATGTTGTTACTATTAACTGGTGTCTGGCAACACATCTCACAACCTCCCCTGCACACTGTGTGTCATAATGGCACAAACACATAAAGTACTTGATGATAAGGAAAAAGGATTCACAAAGTGGATAAGAAATGTGGAGGAAAAGGCTGTCTCGGTCACTGTGGACACAGGCGTAGACCTATAGAAGAGACCCCAAGAACCAGCATCCCAGCATGCTATTGCTGGATCTCAGAAGATATTCCACTTTTACAGTCCCAGAAGAATGCAGCCAACTTGCCTTACACGCTACCTAGCGCAACTCTGAGTTTTATAGATGAAGAAATTGGGATATGGGATCTGACCCTCATCATACAAAGTACTGATCAAAATGATGTTGGAGCCCATAACTAAATCAAAGACATTCAAGGAAAAATAACAACAACAACACTTTTTTCTTACCTGGAAACTAATGAATTCATTTGTATTTACTGGTTCCAAATATTTTCTGATTGTTACCTTGTCCAAAGTAATGACACTGTTCTAGGTAATGATGATACACAGTAAACAAAAACAAAAATTGTCTGCTCTCATTTCTGTGGGTCAGGAAAAGCTTTCTAATGTGGTCACATTTGAACCGAGAGGTAAAGGGAGTGAGGGAGTCACATGGTTCTTTAGGGTAAGAGTGTCCCAGGCAGACAAATGAACCAGAGCAGCATGTACTTGGCATGTTCCAAGTGAGGAGACCATGGTGGCCAGACTGGAAGGAGAATAAGGGGAGAGTGGCTGCAGGTAAGATCAGAGATATGGAAGGGGGTAGATCATGTAGGGTTTTGGGTTTTACCCGGGGTAAGATGGGAAATCACTGAAGGATTTTCATCAGAGGAGACCCATGACAATATGTTTTTAAAACATCACTCTGGCTAGCTTGTGGAGAAGAGACCGGAAGAGCAAGAGAAGAACCAAGTGGGAAACTATTGCACAAATCTAGGAGAGAGATAAGCAGTTTGGACAAGGAAAATGGGCCTGAAGCAGAGTGGTCAGATTCTTAACATATTGTAAACGAATCACTGACGTTTGGGGATTGATTGGATTTGAGCTGTGAGAGGAAGACGGGAGTGAAAATGAGGCCTAGGCTTTTGACCTAGGAAACTGAAAAATTAAAGTGGACATTTACCAAGAGAGAGGAGAATGAGGGAAGAGCGGGTTTGGAGAGGAAAGTCAGGAGTCTGGTTGTTTTGCCAAGTTAGATCTGCCTTTTACAAGACTAAATGGAATGTCCAGCAGGCAACTGCACACAGAGTGTACAGTTCACAAGAGAGGCTGGGGTTGTCTGCACAGAGGTGGTATTTTAACTCATAAGCCAGGATATGACGGCAGACAGAGAAGAGGGCCCAGGACCAAGCTCAAGTTCAAAAATTGTGTTGCCCTTCCCATACATCACATTTGCAC